AAAAGGAACACTTTTACATCACTGGTAGGAATGTAAACTAGCGCAACCGCTATGGAAAACAGTATGAAGATTCCTTGAAGAACTAAAAGTAGATCTACCATATGATCCAGCAATCCCACTCCTGGGTGTCTATCCAGAGGAAAAGTCATTGTATGGAAAAGACACTTGCACAGAAATCTTTATAGCAGCACAATTCGCAATTGCAAAAATATAAAACCAGGCCAAATGTCCATCAATCAACAAGTAGATCAAGAAAATACACACACACACACACACACACACACACACACACACACACACACCATGGAATACTACTCAGCCATAAAAAGGAAGAAAACAATGGCATTTACAGCAACCTGGATGTAGTTGGAGACCATTATTCTAAGGAAAGTAGCTCAGGAATGGAAAACCAAACATCGTATGTTCTCACTTATAAGTGGGAACTAAGCTATAAGAACACAAAGGCATAACAAGGGCATAGTGGACTTTAGGGACTTGGGGAGAAGGGTGGGCGTGGGGTGAGGGATAAAAGACTACACATTGGGTACAGTGTACACTGCTCAGGTGATGGGTGCACCAAAATCTCAGAAATCACCACTTAAGAACTTATCCATGTAACCAAATACCACCTGGTCCCTTAAACCTATTGAAATAAAAAATAAATTTTAAAAAGAAAATGCAGTGTCTCAAGGGAATAATAAAATGACTCAAATGATCCAAGAAAAAGTCAAAGTTTCAGGAAGAAAAGCGGGATGAACGGGTCAACAAAAAGTGACACCTACTAATACTTAGAGTCCTAGCATTGAGAGGAGGAAGTCAGCAGAGAAAGAGAAAATGAAGACAAAGCTGAGAGGAAAATTAACAGTCTAGGAAAAAATAAAATGGGCTAAATTTACAGTATGGAAGACAATTTGGTATTTTTAAATATATCAATGGTATAGGGGTCAGGGAAAGTTATTTCCAATAGATCCTTAAATTACCTGTAACATCTATCTGTGAGTGGTGTAATAACCAGCCTAGGGGAATTTCCCAGATATTCATATCCATATCTCAAACCAGCATTGATCATTTTTGTTTCTAAATGATTTTCCTAGGATAAATCAGATAAAATGAAGTTACTTTAAACAAAATTGTAAATAATATGAAATCTCAAGCTCTTTAATAACTATAATATAGACATCTTTAAAATTCACTTTTCAGGTGTCATTTGATTCCATGGCAGAATTCATTATCTCGTTTCCATGAATGAATAATTGAAATCACGGACTTTAATTTTTCCCCTAGAACATATTAGTATTTGTCCCTTACTTGTTTCACATTTTTTATCATTGTGTGTTCACAATACAGCAGATGTTAATCATCATTTAACAGATGAGGAAACTCATGCTTAAAGAGAATAAGTAACTTGCCCAAGGTTACACATCTGGTAAGGGGAGAATCTGGCATCTGAAATGATTCTACCATCTGAGCTTCTAACTCAGTACTAAATACACTGCTTCTCAATTTGTTTCCCAGGATGCTAGTTCCTGCCTCTTCTCTCCACACATTCCATGCCTCCCAAGACTTCCACAAAAGCCTATATATGAAAACTATGCACCTGTCTCTGCCCATACCCAATAGGCCCTATCTTGCCCACTGTACTAACTGATTCCTGCCCTGCTTGCATACCCCATCATGACTACCATTACCATCTACCCAGATGCCCTGGTAAAAACCATGTTTCTGGCTTCTTCAACTGTCGATGAGAAGAAACTTTTTTTTTCCCCTGAGACAGGACCTCACTCTGCCACCCAGGCTGGAGGGCAGTGGTGCAATCTTGGCTCACTGCAACATCCGCCTCCTGGGTTCGAGCAATTCTCCCACCCCAGTCCCCAAGTAGCTGGGATTATAGGTGTGCCCCACCATACCCAGCTAGTTTTTGTATTTCCAGTAGAGATGGGGTTTCAACATGTTGGCCAGGCTGGTCTTGGACTCCTGGCCTCAAGGGATCTGCCTGCCTTGGCCTCCCAAAGTGCTAAGATTACAGGCATGAGCCATCATACCCAGGAAAGAGGAAACTTTAATGACCAAATCAGACTGAAAGAGTTTGATTCATACTTTCTTTAGATACATAAGGAACCTAAAAAAAATTTTAAACTGACTAGTCCCAACACTGTGCAGATTTAGCAAACCTAGCAATTCATTTAAGATGAGTAATTTTTGATAATTACTCATAATTTTTGTGTATATATGTATATATGTTTATATATAACTATACATTTGGATATAGATAAGGACACAGATATCAATACAGATGATATAGCTATCAGCAGCTTAATCTTCAATCTAAAGAAGTGCTTATTTGGGTATACTCTGCCATCAGCAAAAGATCCTCGATTACTGCTACATTTCCCATGTGAGCCAGCAAGCACAAATTAAAAATTAAGAGCTGAAATTGCTGTGTAATAACATTCAATGATACCACTTACTTGCCAATAGTACCTAAGCTGACTTAACCATTCAAAGTCAGAGTCATCACTGACATTTTTTTTTACAAGTGATGAGAGGACATCTCTAGCATGGACATCCAGTACCACAAGTGCTCCCAGAGTTACGCGGTTCTGCTTGGACAATTTGCCACGCACCAAAGTGACAATATCATCAATTTGTATGTTACACATTTCCAAGTATTGCTCAAGAGCCTGAAAGAAAAGAAAATATTATTTCCCAATATGATCAAAATTACTTTGTACAAAACATCCTGAACTAGTATATACACAAATTATTCTTGACATTTTGATCACAACTTTCTATGTAACACAATTTAGAAGTAATTTGTTTTTCTTACTACAAAGGTATTGGGTGAACAAGCTCAATCAGGCCAGATATAATGGATATATGCAATTTGTGTCTACTCATTATCCTTTCCTTTTCTGTTTCTATTTCTTTATTCTCTGTGGTTTTGTTGGAGTTGTCAATCATATTGCCCTCCATGGCAATATGAAAGAGGAGATGGGTGACTAGACCAGAGCCAGTCATAGTTCTTCCCGGGGATTGCTGTGTAGATTGAGAGAATAAGTGCTTTTCACTATGCTTGGTAGGCTGTGGATATGCCAATTTAAAGTAACTACAAGCTGTAATCTGCTCTATAGAATAAAACCTACCAGAGCCTAGTAGAGACAGAGAGCAACAACAAAAGAGAGACCACGGATGGACATGGTAGCTCAAACCTGTAATCCCGGCACTTTGGATCACCTGAGGTCAGGAGTTTGAGACCAGCCTGGCCAACATGGTGAAAACCCTTCTGTACCAAAAATATCAAAATTTAGCTGCATGTGGTGGCATGTGCCTGTAATCCCAGCTACTCAGGAGGATGAGGCAGGAGAATCGCTTGAACCTGGGAGGTGGAGGTTGCAATGAGCCGAGATCATGCCACTGCACTCCAGCCTGGGTGACAGAGTGAGAGAAAGCAAGATGAGAGAGAGAGAGAGAGAGAGAGAGAGAGAGGGGGGGGGGGAGGCAGACAGACACTGACTGACTCTGTTGAGAGAGAGGGAGGGAGAGAAGGAAAGAGAGAAGGAAGGGGGGGGAGGGAGGGAGGGAGGGTGGGAGGGAGGGAGAGAGAGAGAGAGAGAGAGACAGACAGACAGACAGACAGACACACACACACACCACAGCACAATGCAGCCTGGAGGTCCTGATTCTGACTACTCCTATTTGGATCCTATGAGTCCCTCTAGTACTCTTGTATAACCTTTGTGAAAGGGGTTTGTGCCTCTTGAAATATAAAGATGCTAATAAACAACATTGTACATTTTAGTTTATAATAAGCTAATGCCAGTTCTGAAGACCAGGCTTGCTTCTCTTTTCTGGTAGGTAAATTGAATGAGTAAGTTAAAAAAGAGAAGGGGACTTAGGACAAAAATAAAATTATAGTCAACAAAAACCACTGTGCTTAAGAGAAATATCAATATGCTCCAGTGGACTGATACGGCTTTTTCTACTCTAAAAACATTTTATAAAACCTGTACACCAAGGAATCTATTTCACTCTGTTACAGCCATTGCTGAATGGCAGCAATGAAACTAAAAGTGAGGGTTCCCAAGAATGAGAAAAAGCTTAAAAGTCAGAGATGAGGACTGCAAGTTGTTTCAAGGGGCACTTTTCTTGTTTCCTGAAATACTTTATCTTTTTTTATTATTATTTTTAAGAAAGGTCATTTTTCAAAGGGTTGGTGCCCAAACACTATTTCATTTCTATTATTTACATGGTTAATTTGCTATTAATTTTCTTCTTCAGCAGTAAAAAATAAACTTCTGTCCCACCCACGTTTAACCCACATGCAGGGAAATCCCAGGAGGCTGCACGTCCCTTGGTGGGCCATTTCGGCGATGGAGAAATCCCTCTGTGTAAGGTGGTTGGTGAGTGGTAGCTTAAAAGTAGAAGGACAAAATGAATTCTCTGGACTCATTGAGGAAAAAAGAAAAATACACATGGGGAGAGAAATCCAAGGGCCCAAAAATAAACTCAGGGGCTTACTGCTGTTAGGGAAACTCCTCTGCCCCAGTGCTCTGGTTTTCATGAAGAAACAGCTTTTTCCCGAAAACCCTTGACCTCCTGTCCTACACACTATTTCTTCTTGTAGAGGAGAACTAGGTGACCTGTTGGTAAGTTAGAATAATTAAACATGTGTCACTCAGTTCCTTACTCTTTGGAATCTGTCTGTCTACAGAGAACATGCATCCTTCTCAAACCCATGTTCAACAACACCTTAAAGACATTTCAAATCCCATGTTTAAAATACATTTGAAAATCATGATTTTAAACTAAAGATCTATAAATACTAGGTTCCAGTTGACTTGCTTGAAATCCTATCTCAGTGATAGAACTGTTGCAATGAATGTAATCTTGGTTTTTAATAATTACAATCTAATATTAAATTCATATATCTAATATTAGAATATTTACATATTTAATACTAAGCATCATTTAAAATATCCATAATTATTATGTATTCAAAATCAATACATTAGAAATAAAAATATTCACAGTAAGTCAACTGGAGCCTTTTCTATATAGGGTAGTTTTATTCAAGGCGTAAAAGAGAATACTGTCATTTTATTTCCTGCTAATGTTTATGAGTTTCTTAGTCCTATTATCACTCTATTTTTAAAGGCATAAAAGTGTATATAACAAGATTGAGGTTCTTGAACCTCATTAACTCATATCATTAACTTTTATATACTGTGAATAAACATGATTTAAACATAAATTTTGACATTACTGGTATAAATTTTCCTACATATTTGTTACATGCAAGTTTTATTTTAAAAATCTGTAATTTGGCTTGCAGCATAAATTTTTAAGTGAACTGTATTTATTTTAGTTTTTAAAATAAGTGTATTCTGGCAATAGTGACTATTGAAAAAATGCTACAAAAAATAAAACACTGAGGGTTAATAAAAGCTTACCTTTATTCCCTTTGGAATAGCTGTTTGTACTTCTTTCGTCCAAAAGATTTGGGATACACAGAGAACAGTTTGTCCAGGCCAATCCCTTACCCAGTTAATTCGCTCATATTTTGTATAGGCAAAAATTGCAACCCCAATTACCTAATCAAAAAAGAATACGCTAAAAATCAACCATTTACTGAACAAGTTATACAACTGAAAGCTAAACTCCTAAACTAGATTAACTCATGCCACTCAATTTTTTACAACATTCTTAGACGGTTACACAAGACTCACTTAAACCATGTGATTATAGCTATTTATATTCAAGTTTAATCATATACCTATGAGCAAGGCAAACATACTATATAACATTTTATTTCGCTGATGTATTATCAATTTGTGTGAACCACAATGTATCAAATATTCATTTGAACAATTTTAGCCAAAGGCATGCTACATACATTTGGATTGAACAAGCGTGAGCAATTTTACTGCAAAATACAATTTCAAATAATTCCAAAATGAGATCCATCAAATTTATAGATAATTTTCTTGTAATTTAATCCGATCTCTAATCAGCCATATGCACGTATGTAAATGCACACTTCGGCATCACATAATCTCAAGTTCCTCCTGTGTTTCCAGGCCTCATTCTCTCTCAGTCCTGTAGTTTGAAGCCCAAGGCAATGATGTCGAGACAGATGTACAATTCATTCATGGAGAGTTGAGGGCTGTAAAGTCAGGAAGACTAATTTTGTACTTCACTACGTATGTTCGGTGGACTGATACATCTCCTCTTCTACTGGCCATCAGTGGGAAACACACTAGTCTGTTAAATGCATCAACCAAAAATAGTGACGTCTGTGAGGTGGTATGTACTTTAATGTTTGAATTTCAGAAAAAATTGTCAAAGTTAGATTTTTCTGAGAAATACCTAAGTATAGTTAAACCATTCTTGATTTCTAGTCCTGCCTGGATATTTATAGAATGGAACAATGATAAAGGGAAGAGTTCTGGCTGTTGATAATAAAGACATTTTTAAAAGGAGAAACAGCCATGGAAAGGGCAGGTGAAAATGGACAGCTGAGGGATGGGAGAAGCAAAGAAAAAAATAGAAAGGCATAGCAGACAAATGCCAAGAAAATGGGGTAAATATGTACTCTAGAAGAACACTGTGGGAAGAACAAGAGAAAGACATTGAAATCTGGATCATAAAAAAGGATTTCTATGTAGTTAGATGAGGAAAAATATGATTACGCAAAGTTCCACAATATTGTATGTAAAGTCTATTATTATATCTATGTTTACCATATTATATATGATATATATATATATATATAGAATACATACATGTAGAAGACTTTCAAGCATGCAAATACACATAGCAGAACATAGTAACACACCTATCTCCTATTTGTAGAATTGTATACTGCATTTGCTTGCATATTTTGTCAACATGTTAACACACACACTTATGCATATTTTTTAAAGATACATTCTACATCTTTTTTTAACTTTATTTTTTATATTTTTCAACTTTGATTTTAGATACAGGGGGTATATGTGCAGGTTTATTACATGGGCACATTGCACCCAGGCAGTAAGCATAGCGCCCAATAGCTAGTTTTTAAACCCATGCTTCCCTTTCTTCCTCCCCCATCTAGAGGTCTACAGTATCTATTGTTGCCATGTTTATGTCCATGTGTGCTCAATGTTTAGCTCCCACTTATAAGTGAGAACATGTGGTATTTGGTTTTCTGTTCCTGTGTTAATTCCTTCAGGATTATGGCTGTGTTCCTACAAAGGACATGATTTCATTCTTTTTTTATGGCTGCATATCCTATACAACTTCTTGCCACCCTATCTTAATGCTCTGAGATAGCAACCAAAATACTTTCTCCAAGTACTTTGACAATCAAAATTAAAAGAGTAGTTGAAATAGTATCAGATGTACATAAAATAATGACGTATTATTCTATACTACATCAATTAGCAAATCATATAGGCCAAATCCATACTGCTTACGAGTGGTTAAAGTGGAATTTATTAATATTGCTAATGGCTATAAAAACATTAATGTTATTTGTCAATATTTATCGAGGCTATGAAAACTCATCATCTTTGGCCCAGCAGTCCTACACATGAGAAGTTATACAAAAATTAAAATTCAATCAAAGAAACCAGCTATATGCATAAGTACATTTATTGTAATATAATTCATAATAGGGCAAAAATCAGACCTGTCCCAAAGATTTTACATTTTCTGGAAAATATTGTGCAGGCAGGCATTAAAGCCATATTTAAGAGAAAGAAAGATTAAGAGAGAAAGAAACAGTGGTAATATTGAACATCTAGATTCCAATGAATTTTTCTGAACATTTGTGGGAAAATCTGACACATTAATTTAAATATTAATTGGAAGTCCTAGACAGAGCAATCAGGCAAGACAAAGAAATAAAAAGTATCCAAATAGGAAAAGAAGAAATCAAGCAATCCCTCTTAACTGGTAATATGATTCTATAACTAGAAAACTCTAAAGACTCCATCAAAAGACTCATGGAGCTGATGAATGACTTCAGTAAAGTTTCAGGATATAAAATCAATGTACAAAACTCAGTAGCATTTCTATACCCAAATAATATTCAAGCTCAGAGTCAAATCAAGAATGCAATCCCACTCACAACAGCCACACACAAAAATAAAATACCTAGGAATTCATCTAATCAAGGAGGTGAAAGATGTCTACAAAGAGAACTACAAAACACTACTGAAAGAAATCAAAGATGACACAAATAGAAAAATATTCCATGCTCCTGGATTAGAAAAATCAGTATCATTAAAACACTCATACTGCCCAAAGTAACCTACAAATTCAACACTATTCCTATCAAACTACCAACATCATTTTTCACAGAATTAGAAAAAATATTCTAAAATTTACATGGAACCAGAAGAGCCTGAATAGCCAAAACAATCCTAAGCAAAAAAACAAAGCCAGAAGCATTACATTAGCCAACTTCAAAGTATACTATAAGGATGTCATATCGAAAACAGCATGGTATGTGTACAAAAACAGGCACATAGACTAATGAAACAGAATAGGGAGCCCAGAAATAAAGCTGCACATCTACAGCCATCTGCTCTTCAACAAAGTCAACAAAAACAAGCAATGGAGAAAGGTCTCCCTATTCAATAAATGGTGCTAAATAGCTGGCTAGCCATAGAAGAAGAATGAAACTACTCCCCATCTTTCACCATATACAAAAATTAACTCAAGATGGATTAAAGATTTAAATGTAAGACTTCAAACTATAAGAATCCTAAAGGAAAACCTAGGACACACCATTCTGGACATTGGCCTTGGGAAATAATTTATGACTAGGTTCTCGAAAGCAGTTAAAACAAAAATAAAAATTTAATTAGTGGGACCTAATTAAAGAATTCTGGCACAGAAACAAACAAAAAACCAACCAAACAAACAAACAAAAACTATCAACAGAGTAAACAGACAACCTATAGACTGTGAGAAAACATTCACAAACTATGTATCTGAACAAGTTCTAATAACCAGAAACTATAAGGAACTTAAGCAACTGAACAGGCAAAAAACAAATAACCCCATTTTAAAAAATGGGCAGCAGACATGAACAGATACTTCTCAAAAGAAGACATACAAGTGGCCAACAAACATATGATAAATGCTTCACATCACCAATCGTCAGAAAATATAAATCAATAGGACAATGAGATACTGTCTCATACTACTCAGAATGGCTACTACTAAAAAGTCAAAAAATGCTGGTAAGGCTACAGAGAAAAGGGTAGGCTTATACACTATTGGTGGGATTGTAAATTAGTTCAGCCACTGTGGAACGCAGTTTGGAGATTTCTCAAAGAACTTAAAATGGAACTACCATTCAATCCAGCAACCCCACTGCTGAGTATATATCCAAAGGAAAATAAATTGTTCTACCAAAAAGACATATATTCACATGCTCATTGGAGCAGTATTCACAACAGCAAAGACATGGAATCAACCTAGGTGCCATCAATGGTGGATTAAATTAAGAAAATGTGGTAAATAAACACCATATAATACTATGCAGCCACAAAAATAATGAAATTATGTCCTTTGCAGCAACAATGGATGCAGCTGGAGACCATTATCCTAAGCAAATTAACGCAGGAACAGAAAACCAAATACAACATGTTCTCACTTATAAGTAATTGGAAGCTAAGCTTTGGGTATGGACACAGATAGGGATGGCAACAATAGACACTGAGAACTACCACAAGGAGGAGGAAGAGAGGGGGCCAAGGGTTGATATACTAACTATTGGGTACTATGCTCAGTGCCTGGGTAATGGAATCAATCGCTCCCCAAACCTCAGAATCACCCAATATATCAATGTAACAAACCTGCACATGTACCCCTGAATCTAAAATAAAAGTTGATATTTAAAAAAATAAAAATTAAAAATTATTTATACTCCCCTCCCATTCCTTTGCTTCATCATGATTTTTATTCTTTACTAAAAACTTGAATGCTAGGCTCACATTATAGTAAGAAAAAAAAAATGAGTGCTCAATCTTTATTTGTTGGCGTGCCTTGAAATTCTCTACTAACAAAAAATAACTGCAAATGATTGAGCTGACAATATGTTTTATGAAATGTGGAAAATACGAAGTTGCTATTAATGGTAGGAAGTATGCATGATCTTCTAACATTTTAGTATGCATTTTATGTAGACACAGAACGAAAGGATTTATGCATGTCAAGGAGACTGATGTGATCCTGTAGAGAGGTGCTTCCAAGGCAAGACTAAAGATAGACTGCACAGAACAAAGTGTATCTAATTAATGATGAAAGGACTAGCATGTGGCCGCAAAAAATGAGCAGATGCATTACTCAAACCCAAGTGTTCCGTAGTATGGATGGTATTTTGTCCCACATGTCTCGTGAGTCACTACAAAATTACTATCATAGACCATCTCTTCGCTTCAAGTTATCTATGACATTTGAATTGGCAATTCCATGCCTCCATTTCTGTCTAAGTAACAGTATATTTATCAATAGTATATTTCTTTTAACATAATATTTTTATTAAATCATTTCAGACAATATTTCTAATAACATTCATACTCTAACATCCTTTTCTAAACATGGTAATTATAGTCAATTACCTTGTGGATGGAGTTAATCATAACTCTCTCTAATTCAACCAACCACTTCTCCACTTGACCTCTGGCTTTGGCTGTTGAAATGATCTCTTTGAGTTCCACAACCTCTCCTTCACTACTCTTCATGTGAGTAATGTCTAAAGTTTCCGTAAATTCTACCTTTGCAATTCCTTCAAAACATTTCTTCAAGTGAGGTTGCACCCTGTCAGGAAAAACATTTTTAAGAGAACTAACCAAGTTAAAACAATTCCTTAAATTCCAGTGCTCTTCGTACACCAATTTCCATTTAAAATTCATAAATGCATAATGTTATGCCTGTGCTAGGTAGTGCTGGGAATGAAATATTGAGCAAAAACCAGACCCCCTCCTCCAAACAAACAAACAAAAACACAATCTTTGCCCACATGGATTGTACAGTCCAGTGAGAAGTCAGCATTAATTGAATAATCACAAAAGATCTGTAAAATTGCAATTATAGTAAGAACTACAGAGACAACCACAAGGCTTTGTCTTCAATACAATGAATTAAAAGATGCTAAAGGTAACATAAGGAGAAAACCAATCTCGACTAACAGATACATGAACCTAAAGAATCTTCAAATGCACAAAAGTAGCCATTTCAACTGGGATCTTCAGAGACTGTTTGAAAATTCTGGACTATGTTTAGTGACTTACGTACTTTACAGTTTACTAAATCAACTGCTTTGACAGTATCCAACTATTAGTCTATTCAATGTAATACAGAAGGGACTGACAAAATCACTCACTTTTGGCACACTACCAACAACCCATTGTATTCATCTTTCAAATGGGCAAAAAGAAGCAGAGTATAAAAACTTACATAGAAATCTGAGCCTAAATTTGTCTTTTTCTTTAGATTACAGTCTCCTATTTTGAAGACACAAAATACAAAATTAATAAATTTGCTTAACAAATATCTATTCATTGTTTATATCAGATACTCTTCTAAGGATTGGGGAATCGGCAGTGGGAAAGAACAGTCAAAAAATCTTTACTATGGTAGAGCTTATATTCTGCTAGAGGAAGACATACAGTAAACAAGTAATTATAGAGTATGCCAGATGATAACAAGTATGCAGAAGTAAAATTAGGCAACGAAAAAAACTCAGTAAAGAGGGCAAGTTGAGTGTGGAGGGAGCTGCTTCTTTAAATATGGTGGTCAGGGAGGGCTTCCCTGAATGACAGATGTTTAAGCAGATTTCCACAAAGACTTATAGGAGGTAAAGGAAGAAGTCTGATGGGCATGTGGGTAAGGAGGATCCCAGGCAAAGAGAACAGTACATTGAGAAAGTAGGCTGCCCTTTTTACCAAGGAATTGCAAAAAGTCTGGTGGACTGCAAGCAGAATGAGCAAGAAGACTAGTAGGAGATGAATAGGAAGGATAACAGGGGAAGAATAATCTGTGTGGGGCATTGCAAACCATCGTGAGGGCACTGGTTTTTATTCTGAATATGCTGTGAAAGAGTCGCGTTCTGAAAAATCTGTAAGATGTGGTAAGTTAAGAAATCTGGCCGGGTGCAGTGGCTCATGTCTGTAATCCCAGCACTTTGCAAGGTTGAGGTGGGCAGATCACTTGAGGTTAGGAATTCGAGACCAGCCTAGCCAACATGGTGAAACCCCATCTCTACTAAAAGTACAAAAATTAGCTGGGCATGGTGGCACACACCTGTAATCCCAGCTACTTGAGAGGCTGAGGCAGGAGAACTGCTTTAACCTGGGAGGCGGAGGTTGCAGTGAGCTGAGGTTGTGCCATTGTACTGTAGCCTGGGCAACAAGAGTGAAACTCCGTTTCAAAAATAAATAAATAAATAAATAAGAAATGAAACAAAATGAGAAAAGAAAAGAAAAAAATCTATTCCACTGTTCCTTCAGTATTACTTATATTTTTAATAATTATCCAAAGTTGATTATATAATACTTGGAACATTCTTATAGAAAAATTATCATATAAATATGAATATATATATTTATCTTCTACTTTGTTCTAAAAAGTAAGTTTAAGCAAATAAATTCAGTCATGTATTCTACATGTAAATTACTTACCTAGTGGGATCTTTAGTCTCAGATAGTATCTCAAGAAGTTCATCATTTGACAAGAAAAAGAATCTGGGGAAAAAGAGACGTTTCTTTTCCAAATATTCATTAAGTCCTTTAAGAATGAGCTCCAAAAGTTCATTACATTTTTTCAGTCTTTCCAGCATTCTCTCAATGGTTACAACTGTCAGAACATGTTTATCCTAAAAATAAAAATAAAAATATAACCCACTCAATCCAAAAACACTAGATACTAACTTTATTTATATTCATACTATATTTAAGATTATATGTTTATAATCAAACAAAGGTCATGTAAACTTTAAGAGGAGTATTTATTTTTTAAAAGTGGTCTTGCATATTCCAGGTCTACTTACCCTCTCTCTTTGATTCTGTAAAAGTCACACTGTTTTAATACTCAGTCCTGTTCATAAGTTCTCATTCTAAGTTGAGAAGTGTAAGAGACAGAAAATGAGAGAGAGAGAACACTGCCTGAACTCACAAGAAGGACAGTGGAAACAAACTAGCATGAGATATTTTCTTTTGTATTTATTCATTAAGGAAAAGAATTCTAAATAGTAAGTCATTATAATTATTATTTTCAATTTTATTGTTATGAATAATAATAAAATAACAGAATCCCTGTTTTATAACTATAGAGAAAAAAGTAAGGGTTGGGGAAATGAGGAAGAATGTTTTCTAAGAAGATCTTACATTGTAAACAATGACCCTTGGAACTACTTTATAACACTTCTTGCTGAAGGACTCAAGTTCAAAATGCGCCTTTTCTCAACTCTCTAAAGTCTAGACTGTTCCACCTTGAAGACAGGGTGAACATTCTCACCTGAAAGTGTCACTGTGAGCTGTTTGCTTTAAAGCGATTTAAACACAATCAAATATTTTTAAAAGAGCCTTCTTTTATGCTGTGTATTCAAAATAAGAATGATAACCAAGTTTATTTTAAGAACTCATATTTTTTAAAAAGTAGAGTTTATTGATTTCTCAAAATACCCATACAGTAACTACTGAGTTTATGAAAATCTTTATAAATACATGTTAAAATACAACCTAGATACAGGTGAAATAGAATTATTTCTACTTTTTTTTCTTTAACATGGTTGATACCATCTGAGTCTATTCTTGGTCTTATAATTCCAAAGTCAGTGTTCACCATTGACACCACTGACAATGTAAGGGAAGTTCTTTACTAAACAAGCTTGAAGGTGTTTTAAAAAAAAAAAAAAAAAAAAAAGGCGCTAACACAACAGAGATTTCAATCGCCAAGCAACATACTTCATGAAAACACACCAGACGTTTAATAATGTAAGTAACAGAGAATTTTAGAAAATTTATATGAAATTAAATCAATAGAATACTGTTAAAAACTAAGTATTAAATTTCAAGATTAACTAATTAGGTTGTTTTGGTATTTAACCATGACTGAGAGATAACCAAAAATGTAAGCAGTAAATTTTTTCATACAGGAATTTTATTCTATTTGAGGAATCTCTAAAGTACATTTTTGTTAATGTACTTTGTGTCTGAAAAGGAAAGATATAATTTTCTGCTTTTTTTTTTTTTGGATTATAACAATGTAATTTGGAAACGGCAAGTTAATCAAACAAAATAATTATCATTATTACCTGTTTTCTCAATAAACATGAATATATAAATCATGTAATGTAATTAGATCAACTTGTTTTTAAAGGTGCATAATTTTTAAAAGGGATTTTAGTACGCTTCCTGTTTTATATTCTAAATACACACACCCACCCACCCACCACCCAGACTCAGATCATCTTGTCCTCCTAAATCCAAATATCGAAACAGTGTTCTTAGAGTGCCACCTGCTGGAAAAGTACTTGGGGAAAAAAGCTGAACTGTGGCTAATAAATGTGAAAAACTCCTTTCACACATGAACAGTATTTGTTATTCTCAACCAAAAAATTTATTGCAATGTTTCCATTCTTAATCTAAGATTTGAAAGCTAAAAAAATTAGTTAAGTATATTCCTTTTACTTAATATTATAATTACCCAAACAACAAACAAGCAAACAACAAACCCTGGAAAGAGCATTCATGTAAAATTTTCCTATTGTTGAATTTCCAGGGTCAAACTTATTTAATCAGATTAGCTCCAAAAAACTCTGAACCAAATATGTTACTTTTAAATGAACATAGGCAATAATCTATGTATCTTTGTATATGGATTTAAGATTTTAAAGTAAAAATAATCATCTTATGGCTGGAAACTCATCTACTTTCACTCTCTCCCACTGAGAAGATGAATGTAATAAAGACTGTATCAGATAAAGAAAGGGTCCCAAAGTTGCACAGACCTGGTATCTGTCCCACACTCTATTCCTTATTACCTATGTGACCTTAGATCATTTGCTTAATCTGAGTCCCTTTGTTATCTTGAAAATTGGAATAAGAGCCCTCTCTCAAAATTGGTATGAGGACCAAATTAGATAATGTTTTTTAAGTGACTAATATGACACCTAGAACACATAGAGGCTTGAAGCAACCCTTTTGCTCCCCCTTTCCTTCTCCTCACTGCAAAACTGTCTCTTGGGCGGGGGGCGGGGACTGACTCCAGGGAAAGTGGAAAATGAAGCATTTACATCACTCCATCTGTTTTGTGGAGTTAAAATGAACATTTTATAATCTGCCATTCTTCAAGAAAGGTATTTATCTTAGTAAAATAACACTGACTTTAAATCCCTCTAAGGATTGTCATAAAATCCTGGTACAGAGTGAGTATTCCATGAATGAATGCTTGAGCAAATGCAGGTTGAGCTACACCTGGGCTCATACAGGGAAACTCGAGGAATACACAAGCTTCCATGTCATACCAGGCTGGTACTTCCTAGGTATGCCTTCAAGACACAGCAATAAGATGTTGTAACAGGAAGCTACTACAAATTTGAAACTTAGTATGACTTCCCTGACACTTTAATTACTTTCTTTCTCCTTCAGGGGAAGAAATGAATTATTAACTGTAATATTTTTGGGTTAAAGTCACACTGACAACTTTTTCGTGTCTTCTTTTACTTCACAGCATCCACCAAACTCATCAGCTCTAGTGATGTTCTGCTAGATTTACATTTTTAAACCCAAAGGCTGTGAAATCAGGGCCTGGAAACTTGGGGTAAATAGAGAGCTTTCTAATTTCTGCTACCAGGAAGCTTCATAGAAAAAACAGTTCTGTCACTTCTGAAGGAAATAAGGGAAGACACAAACAAATGGAAAAACTTTCCATGTTCATGGATAGGAAGAATCAATATTGTGAAAATGGCCTTACTGCCCAAAGTAATTTAGAGATTCAGTGCTATTCCCATCAAGCTACCATTAATTTTATATGCAAAATTAGAAAAAAAAAACTACTTCAAATTTCATATATAACTATAAGAGAGACCATATAGCCAAGACAATCCTAAGCAAAAAGAACAAAGCTGGAGGCATCACACTACTTGACTTCATAATATACTACAAGGCTACAGTAACCCAAACAGCATGGTACTGGTACCAAAACATATATAGAGACCAATGGAACAGAACAGAGGCCTCAGAAATAACACCACACATCTACAACCTTCTGATCTTCAACAGACCTGAAAAAACAAGCAATGGGGGAAAAAATTCCCAATTTAACAAATGATGCTGGAAAAACTGGCTAGCCATATGCAGAAAACTAAAACTGGACCCCTTCCTTACACCTTATACAAAAATTAACTCAAGATGGATTAAAGACTTAATTGTAAAACCTAAAGCCATAAACACCTGGTGAAGAAGACCTAAGCAATACCATTCAGAACATAGGCATGGGCAAAGACTTCATGACTAAAACACCAAAAGCAATGTCAACAAAAGCCAGAATTAACAAATGGGATCTAATTAAATTAAAGAGCTTCTGCACAGCAAAAAAAAAAAAAAAAAAAAACTATCATCAGAGTGAACAGGCAACCTACAGAATGGGAGAAAATTTTTTGCAATCTATCATTCTGACAGAGGGCTAACATCCAGAATCTACAAAGAACTTAAACAAATTTACCCAAAAAAAAAAAAAAAGTGGGTGAAGGATACGAACAGACACTTCTCAAAAGAAGACATTTATTCGATCAACAAACATAAAAACTCATCACCACTGGTCATTAGAAAAACGCAAATCCAAACCACAATGAGATACTATCTCACTCAAGTTACAATGGTGAGCATTAAAAAGTCACGAAGCAACAGATGCTGGTGAGGATGTGGAGAAATAGGAATACCTTTACACTGTTGGTGGTTGTGTAAATTAGTTCAACCATTGTGGAAGACAGTGTTATGATTCCTCAAGGATCTAGGATCAGAAATACCATTTGACCCAGCAATCCCATTAGTGGGTATATACCCAAAGGATTACAAGTCATTCACATGCACACGTATGTTTATTGCAGCACTGTTTACAATAGCAAAGACTTGGAACCAACCCAAATGCCCATCAATGATAGACTGAATAAAGAAAATGTGGCACATATGCATCATGGAATACTATGCAGCCATAAAAAAGAATGAGTTCATGTCCTTTGCAGGGACTTTGATGAAGCTGGAAGCTATCATTCTCTGCAAACTAACACAGGAACAGAAAAGCAAACCACATATTCTTACCCCTAAGTAGGAGTTGAACAATGATAATACACGGATACAGGGAGGGAAATACACTGGAGCCTATCGGGGGGTGGGGGGCATTGGGGAGGGAGAGTATTAGAACAAATGCCTAATGCATGTGGGGCTTAAAACCTAGATGACAGGTTGATAGGTGCAGCAAACCACCATGACACAGTATACTTATGTAACAAACATGCACATTCTGTGTATGTATCCCAGAACTTAAAGTAAAATTTAAAAATAAAAAAAAGAGAAAAGATGATTTTGTATACTTAATGGAATTAAGTTCAAGTCTGCTTAGTGAACTTCTGGAAACATAAATTTCCTAATCCAAAATCCCTAGAGAACAGAAAATTGGTAAGATCCTCTTTAAACCTTTTGCAATTTAAGAAAGAAAATGTAGGTTGACAGAGTAGAACTTTAAACCCCTTATACTTTTAAGATTCCTTGATTTCATCAGGAGCAGAAATTCCTTCATTTTAGAGTCAGGATATTTCTAGGATTAATCTAAATCGTAGGCCCCACTTGACTAAAACTGAATTTTTAGAAGTTT